ATCTTGAGAATGAAATGCATATCTTTGTAATTAGGCAACTTATCAGAGGAGATTTTATTGCAAAGTTCGTATAACGCTTGTAGTTCTGGTTAATAATAGTGTAAGGAAACACTGAAACAAAAGGTTGACTGAAGAACAGACTTAATCACATGATAGACATGGATTAATATTACAGTAATAGAGAATACTGTAGTTCAGCATGGCAATGCGTACAACTCAAAGCTATATGTTGTGACCCACTTTGCAATGACTGTTCTGATGAGCAGACATTCTACTCATAACAGATGGATGAGTCCATGTTCAACAATTAATGTAGAGAAGGTCAGTCATTTTACTATACAACACATAAACAGTCACTCTCCTATAGGTTTTCTTCAGTTGGTAGTGAAGTTCCATTCACTAAGATTCTCTACTGTGTGATTGTTACTTCCTTGTACAGGGTTTATAGTAAAATATTGCATCATGCATACCCTACAATGCAGACTATTGCATCATCTCATTATACAATGATGGTTTGGCCTCTGACTTCTGGTCTTACCCAAAGTTAAAATTGACATACAAAGGAAGGAGATATTCAATTTTGGGTAACAATAAGGAGAATGTGATGAGGCACTTGATAAAAATTGGGGAAGAGGACTTTGCAGACTTTTTTGGAAATTGCAAAATTGTTGCTGAGATGAATACATGAGAAAGTGCATTAATTTCTGAGTCTTCCATGGTAAATTTCCATTCCAGTTCATACCACATCTCCCCTTTCTTAACAAATGTATGACTTTCACAATTTTTGGATATCTATATCAATAATTCTTGAGATGTATGTGTTGGATTGGATGTTTATGCGTTTTGACAGTTTTCATCTGAACACTTCTGCATCCAAGGCCAAAAATGATGATCAAAGGACTCAACAGCTGAGGAGAAATGTCTCTTCAACTGCTGCTGCACATGATGCTGAAACAAGATTGAGAATACAAAACGGCCCTTTTCAGGGCCACCCCCCATTCAAATTGTTCCTCCCCCAATTGAAGATGTGCCTCAGTTGCATCCAATTGTTATTACTAGTATTGATTTTCAGGTGGGCTGACTTTAAACTTAAACTGCTTCAATTGAACGACAAAAATTCCTAGTAATGAAAGACCCAGTCAAAGACAGGTTATGCTGCTAGTTTAAATATAAAAGCATTAGAAAGCTGAATGAAGTCAACTAAGCTGTATGTCATGACACATCAGATAGCAGAAATTTAAAATTTAGTGTCTTTATATCTTCTGTGTTCCTCTTAATGTATAATTATGACCAGTATATTTGTTTAAATTTCCACCCCCCACTCTTTCTACATATATAATTCCATCAATAAGAAAATTATTTTAGTCTGAAGGACAAAGCATGTTACATAGAATTTTTTCTATTTTGTCATTCAATTACCCACCATGGGATCCAAGAGGAGCACTTTGAAGGCAGTCAGTGGCCTCTTCCTTTAGGTAGATTATTTTTCATTAATATTAAAGTGGCTCAATCTTCTTGCACAGACCTCATATATTATGGTGCACTATTATTTTTACTGCACTTATGACATTCCATCATCACCAAGAGGACCCTGAATTTTCACTTATCATAAGAACGGGTGTATTCTCAAGAGTCCAAAAGTGTCTCCATGTTCTTGTTGGTGATGAATTATTTCCATCCTACACCCACAGATAAAATGTCACAAGCCTCTCACTACTCTGTCGCTATTTCTATGGAAAGTGTTCAGACAAACTACATTCCTTAGTTCCACCAGTTCTAATTTTCACAGCTAAGACCTTCCATGGCACACACATTGTAGTGAACCACCCTCATTCTCTTCGTATTCCATTGGTGAGATGTAAGTTCCACTCATGTAGCTACTTCCCATGAACTACTTTATTATGGAACCAACTCCCAAGAGGATGCTTCCCTGATTGCTACAATCTTAACCTGTTCAAATCTAGGGCTAACAGTTATCATCCCCACATATCCATGTAAGCTGTATCTCTTATTCTGTTACCCTGTACCATGAGTGGCTCTTGGGCCTTGTACAGGGTGAACATTATTGTAAAAAAAGATGAAAAATAAAAATTATTTGCTAAAATTATAAGAAAAGTCTTTTCATTAAAAACATTTAGTATATCCATGTTGTGTTATAATGTCAAAAAATATCTCGGCTAACACTTTGAATTCTCACTCCATCACCCATTTGCCCAAGAAGAAAACTTATTTAGTACTATTTTAAAGAAAAGCTAGCAAATTTTTTATCAACATGTTTTATTGGTTTTTAATGCAAATGTCTTGTTTAGTGTGTCGGTATTATCTAAATTCAGCATCTACATCAAACACGTAAAATTATTGGGATTTTAAATCCATTAAATAAATCCATAAATGTCAATATTTTCTGAAATCATGTGAGACTTTTTGCTGTCACCTCTAAATAATCCAGAGAATATGAAGAAAGAAAGAAAGAATTATGTCAGTGTGTCTTTGCGAATGAACTAGTATTCAAAGTTTAATACATTAACATTTGGGACACAACTGGATGACTGAAGTTTTCATTAATTCAGGTTTTGCTCTTTTTTCTTTAGATTGTATTTCTTTTGTTGTTTTATTGTACGCTCACACTTCCAGCATTTAGGTTGTATTCCTCAGCCATTAGAATGGTCTAAATATTATGAAGAAGAGTAGCAAAAAGATGACAGAAATATTAGGAAGGATTATTCCTACTTTTTATGTTTCTTACAGCTTACCAACCCTTTGCTAGCTATTTAAAGCCAGAAAATATTTTTAGATTTTAAGAATATTTTTTTTTCAGTTAGGTGATATAAGTCTTACTAATTATCCCTAGTTGGGGGAGAAGTGGTTTGTTCGTACCTTTTCCCAAGAGTACTTGAACTCAACTTTCCAATTAACAATTCCAAACCATTATCCATTGGACAACCTGCACACCCAAGATAAAAGCACCTGATATTCCCAAGCAATCATCCATCTAGGTCCTGACTAGGTTCACTGTTGCTTAACTTCAGTGTTTCAATGTGATGTGGGCATAAGCTGAATTAGGAATGGAAAAAAAAACTCCTATAAGGTAACTTTAATTTTTTACTACTGAAAATAGTTTCTTAGAAATTATATTAATAAAGGGGATTTCTTATTTTAGTTCTTGCTTCAGCTGAAATTGATTTTGTTCTCTAAACTTTTGTTGTATTTTTAGTAATATATATATATATATATATAGAATAGACTATGCCAGAGGTAATTTCACCCAATGCTACAAATTGCTATGAAACCAAAACATCAACCTGAAAATTAAATGTGAATCATATTCTTAAATAACCTTATTAGATTGAAATTTTATACATGGACATCATACATAGTGCCAGACTTTTTCAGAAATATCTAAACTGTCAGCTGTATACAATTGCTATCTAAGATCAATACAGAAAAAAGGCTTTCAGTGAGTAAAAACCGAGTCTTGGCAAAAATCATCCTTCTTTGAACTTTGTGAATTGGCACTACAGAATAACAAACAAAGAACTGTATCAAATAACAAAGTACACACCACTTGGGGATGGCCAAAAGCAGCAGCATCTAAAATAGCATGTAACTCAAAGAGAAAATAATGAAATAAATCAGTGACAAAATCTTTTGTCACTGATTTTCCTAACATTGTACTGGTTTATAAAAATATATATAAATTTTCTCCCATATATATATATATATATATATATATATATATATATATATATATAAGAAGAGAGAGTGTATTTTAAAATTCATCATTAGAGAATACCAATAGCAAAAGAATGTACACTCACCTGACTCAACTCACACCAAAGTTCACAGCTCTGGGTAGCTCGGTTTAAGGATCCAAGTTCATTTGATTATGTTGTCATGCTATCTTTGCTGGGACACCTCTGTTTCTTGTTCTAGCATCCATCCCTTCAATGTTTATTTTTGATAATCTTTTTTTTATTGCATTTGATGTGATCATTTAACTTAAGGATTCTAAAGGGACAATTAGTGTCATTCAGTTTTATCTTTGTATGATTGTTGGTCTTGAATCACATGTGATTCCGGAATAATTCTACCTTAGTATTATAGTTCACTTTACACAATCCAGACTGTAAAGCAGAACAGGGAGAATATATGTATTGTAGATCTTAGCTTTGGTTACAAGAGGATGTTTTGCTAGTTTTAAATGCTGCCCAGACAAGACCTGTTCTATGTTGAACAGGAACTGAGCCATCATTCAAAGATGAAAGTTTGTGGCCAAGATAGACAAATTCAGTTACTTGTTGAATTGGTTTTCCATCCACATTTTTAATTAATTTATATCAAATGTTCTTGCAAGTATTATGTGCAAATAATCCATCTATTTCAAGAAGGCAAATAAACTAATGTTCATAACAATTCTTGACTTAGGTTAATCTTTCATTGTCCAAATGTTGTTACTTCATGGCTGACCAAATTAATTGTCTTCTTCACCTCAGGATGTAGACTTACTAAGTATGTCACACATAGTTTTCCTCTGTCCCTCTTGCTTTCAATCTGTTCTGTGAGTATTGGATTTTCCAAGCCCTCTTTCCTCATTATGTGTCCTAGAAAGTTCTGCTATCTGTTCCTGATGTTAAGTATAAGTTTCCTTTCTGTTTCCATTTTTTTCTGGAAATTTGTTACTGCTCATTTATTCTGTCCATGGTATCCTCACGGAGAATCACATTTCTGTTGCTTCAAGTCTCTTCTTCATCTTTGGGGAAATTGTCCAGCATTCCCTGCCATATAGAAGAGCAGATATCACATAACAATTCAGTACTCTTTTCTTTGTTTCAAACAAAGTTTTCCTGTTTTTTTTTTTTTTTAGTACCCTGCTTAGATTTTGAAAAGCATCTTTGTCTATCCCAATGCACCTTCGGATTTCAGTATCGCACTTTCTGGCCACTGTTAAAACTCTTGTTTTTACTTGTTTAATTTGAATCATTCTTTGAGAACATCAGTTTGTTCTCATATGATTGCCAAAGTTAAGCAATGTCGTGCCTGGTTAGTACCTAGATGAGTGACTGTATGGGAATACCAGGTGCTGTAATTTGGGATGAGTGGGTGATGTAATGACTAATGGCTTGGAATTGAAAATCAGAAAGTTGAGTTCCAATTCTAGTTGTGTTTGTTATATTCAATTACATGTAAATCCTATTGAGAAAGGTATGATTATTATCTCTAAAAATTTTGCAATCTAAAAATATTTTCTGGCTTTGAAATAAAATACAAAACAATCAGAGCATATTAGTTTGTTTAATTTTTGGTTTGAGTTTTATCTCCTAGTAAATTTCATATCCAGTTTTGCCACCATTGAGTTTCCTGTTTTATGCCTTTTAGTTATCCGCTTAGGAATAATAAACATGAAGAGCATAAATTAAACAAAAAACGTGAGGGTGATGCTGTGTAAGTTTTAGGTGGGGTGGTGGTGGCTGTACCTCCCTCCACCCAAACGCAAATCTAAATTTCCTCAAAAAATAAGTAAATAAAAATAGATCTAAATCTATCAAAAGAAAAATCTTAAAAATATTATTGTGAAAGAATGAATTTTTCAACTTTAATACTATGTGAAGCAATGTATCTTAGGTCTCAAAATATTTCATAAAGTTCAAGAGGATTAAATTAAGTCCCCTTTGCAGTTCAGATTTTAGTATGATACTGCATTTATATATATATATATATATATATATATATATATATATATATAATAACTCTATTCAGTCATTAATGCTTACTTGTCATTCTTAATTGCTGACAATCACCTTTTCCTCTTGATTCTCATTGTATTTCTTGAGTTAAATAATAGTTTTGATGCTGGTTCTCAAGTGTAAACGAAATATAGTATTGACTAAAATTTGAACTTTGTTCACAGATTTTCCAAGTTGATAACTATTACATCATTCCATGTTTCCTAAAATGTAAAAAAAATAAATGTATAATTTGTTCAAATATCTGACCTGATCTTATAATTCTACCATTTGGAATATAAATAATCCAACACATCCCACATTATCGCTAAAAGAAAAATCCTGTTAATTTCCAAATCTACTGTTAATCTGTGCTACTGCTTGCAGTCTTTAGTCTGAATTGTGCTTTCACTGTTCATATGACCTGTGAAATTGTAAGCAATTGCATTAATCATGGCCGTATTCTTATTTATTTTCTTTGTCTTTTGATGTTCAGGAATAAATCTCGTCAACATCTTCTGAATTTAATTCTGGTTTTGACTGATTAAAAAAAAAAAAAGAACAAGAAAAACAAACAAACAAATAAATAATCCTAAAACCTGAAAGTTCACCAAGTAGGTAATTGCAAAAGTAGGCAAACAGTAAAAATAAAATACTAAATTATTGATTTTTTTTTTTCTTAAATTTTCTGACTATTTATTTATTTAAAGAAGAAAAAGACTAAAGCGTTTGTGCTCCATTCTATTTGCTGTGATTCTGTGTTATTAACCTCAAAGGAAAATAAGCAGTTAACCATTCTGTAGTCATAATTTCTTGTAATCACTGTATTTCCTTTTGTATTCTTAAATTTACTGTATTATGTGACACGCTGACAAAGTGACCTCAAGTAAAATCTTGGATTAAGATTTCAAGAATTGCATCTGATTAAGAATGGCATCTAGAGAGAATAAGGAATGTTTAAATGTCAGAGATAAGATGGAAGAAGCAAAGTTTATTTGCTGGTGCAGGAAAATGACTTATTAGCATGAGGCAGAAATACCTCCGACATATGTCTCCCACATAATGGTAAAACATAAGTGGCAATGATGTCTTCATGTCTTACTATTATGTGGGAGGTATTTCTGTCACACCCTGTATAAATAATCCTATTCAGTAATGCTTGCATTAATTTCTGACCACTGATCATATCTTTCTACCAGATTTTTAAATACATTTTTACAGTACAATAATCTATAATGCAGTTCTATAGTAAATCTTTCTCTCTTCTCATATATAATAATTTCCCCAGTTTTTACAATTGTGGAAAACACTTTAAGTGCTCCATTCCATTTTGACATTGAATACTTTTTCTTGGCATGTCATTTTATAAATTCTTGGGAGTTGGTTTTGTTATATATATATATATATATATATGGTGGACTCTCCTGTCATATTCGATGTATGAGGGTCAAGCAGCTCAGTTCCTAGGAAGTGACAGCCAAACACCAGCACACATGATTTGATTATAGTGATGAAGGCTTTGTGCAGAACCATCCACACTTTTTGAAGGGTCGATACAGAGACCTGGTGCACTACGTGCCACAAGGTCCCCAAATGACCCTTCACAGGTTTTGAATTCAGAGTTGTACTTCTCCTAGATCAATTACAGTCCAAGGCTATAGAATCCAGTCTGTCCTGTTATTTACCCATTATATATTTAATTCTGGAGGGAGAAGAAGAGGATTAATACCTTTCCCAAGGGCATTAGCATGTAAGTAAATGTAATAGATTCAACTAGAATTTGAACTTGGGCCTCCGATTCCTCAATTCAAACCACTATTCACTACTCCGCCATGCCTCCAGGTATAAGATAAGAACAAATGGAGTATAATTCCACTGCCCGTAGCATTTAATTTTAAAAAAGGGCTCAATACAAAGTAGAGCTTTATGTTATTTATTATAGGAGATTAAAACAAATTTACCATCACCTGAAGAGCCACAATTTAGTGCCAAAACATGAAAGCTATTGTGTAGCGACTTTTAACATGTTTTTGTTTTAATCTCCTATATATATATATATATATATATATATATATATATATAAACTTACTCTGGTACAGAGATGCTGCAGACCTGGTATTAAGCATTTTCTATGTATTATGCTTCTTTGCTGACATCTGATTGTCTCTGTGCCATTGAGCTCTATTAATGGTACATTAAAACATCTTTAATTCTTGTGTTTTGGGGAGGGCTTTTTTTTTCTCTCTTCAGTTAAGGTGATATTTGGTTATTCCATCATTTACTGTATGGGTATTTTTCCTCCCTGGCAACTTGGTGAATACATTGTGTATTCACCAGCTATCCTTATTTTAACATCTGATGTTGTCCATATCACCAAATATCAGTACTGTCCCCCTGATGATAGATTAGCATGTAAGAAACTGTCGGGTGTACACCTGATTTTCTTGTATAATATCTTATGCTCTGTTATTCTGGCATTGAGCACTTCATCATAGTGTGTCCTTTTATAACTCATTTGGGAGTTATTTTTTGTATTATATATATCACAAAAACCTCCAAAGTATTGGTAAAACCAACACAAATCCTGCCAGGTGGCCAAAGAAAATAAAAACTAACAAAAACAATCAGCAGCTGATAAAACAAAAATGAAGAGAAAAACCAATGGAAGAAAAAGGGGAATGGTAACATAAGGGATGAAGAAAAGGCCAAAAGACACCATGCCTACCTAAACAGTCAGATGTAGTACTCTATGTCTACATTACCAAGACATAACAAATATGTTTCTTAGTCTCACAACAGACCACTGCATAAATTTCCTGCTACCATAAATCTTACGCATATATATCATCGCTCAATGCATATGACTATTTTGTCAGTATTTGCATTCACTGACAATGCTTTCTCTTCCTCCCATTCTTCCTAGTCAATTTACAGCATACAGAATGATTGACAAAACTTGTTCAAACAAATTTTAGATGAAGAAATCATCAAATTCTACTTGTTTACACTAATTTCAAATCCCAAAATAAAAGTTGTGCTGGACGGTTACTCTTCTAGATCTTTCTGCAGTAATGCAGGTTTCCCTCAGGGCTATATCCTTGGTCGTATGCTGTTCCTAATTTTCATCAGTAACCTGCCCGATGGCATCAGTTCTCAACTCAGTATGATACAACTATTTACTCCTGTCTTAACAGTAAGTCTGATCAGTCCGATAAGGTCAAATTGGCAGCTGATCTAAAAAATAACCTACAATTTGCTGTTAAGTGGCTCAAGAAATGACTTGTTTATTTTAATGCTTCCAAAACGGAACTGCTCTCAGTCAATCATCTGAGAGACTCCTTTCTGTTTTCTATCAGCATGGCTGATGCTAACCTCCAGGAGAGTGACTTCTTGGACTCACATTTTCTGCTGGCATAAAATGGAAAGATTGTAATGAATCAATTGCTAGGTTTGCTGCAAGGAAAGTTTGTTCACTATATTGTGTGGGGCAATTTTTCTCTCCAGAATCTATCTCACATATTTATAAACCAACCATTCGTCCATGCATTGAATATTGTTGCCACATCTGATCTGGTGCTCCTGCTATATATTTAGAGATTTTTGATAAAATCCAAAGAAGAATTTGCAATGTTATTGGTCCTGACCTGGCATCTTGCCTTCAGTTTCTTTTCTACTGCTGTAATGTAGCTTCCTTGTGCCTTTTTCTATAAATAATTTCATGGTAATTGTTCTGACAAACTTTCCTCTTTGGTACCTAAAATTTATGCGCAGTACCAGATTGGTAGCAAGGTCTCAGCATTTTACGGTTTAAATAGCTGGACGTAAGTTCTCTGCTAACAGTTTCTTCTATCATGCTTCTCACTTGTAGAACTTTCTTCTGGTTCCTAGCAAACAACTATGATCTTCAAAAATGTAAATGCAATCTTCTGTCTTCCTAATTCTTGTTCTTTTATTATTTCCTCTCCTTATTTTCTTATTTTTCTCATATTCTCTAATGCTCAGTAACCACTTGCATCTTAGTGACTTTATTGTCTTATAAAAAAAAAAAGTGATAATTTTCATTTCTTCAGAGAACTGTGAAATAGTTTTATTAGACTTTCATCTCAATTTTTTGAACAAATATTTCTCCTCTCTCAAGTCAAACTATATAGAAGACAGAATTGTAATGAAAGAATATATCGTTCCCCTGTATTAAAGCCCTTTGCTTTGTAACTTTGGGCATTTTACCCAATTACTTTCTGATCTTGGATCCAATAAAGAGTAACAAGTACAGAATAGTTGTTGGTTCCAATCCTTGTAGGAATGACTACAAAAACTTCCCCCTCTCCAAATTTATAGACAAATTATATAAATACATGCTTGGATCACTTTCTAGCCAATAAGTTAGATTACTTCTTGGTCTCATTTGACATATTTTTATCATTTCTTGTCTTGAAGTCATAATGCTAAAATCTCTTTATCCCTTTTGTGTTTTAACACCATTATTATTTTATGAAAATCTTGCCTTGTTACTGTTGGTTGCTTTGCCTACTTTTGTCTTGCATATATATTGTTTGCTTAGGATTATTTTTGCTCTGTTCTTTTTTTTTGTTATTGTTTATTGGAAACTATGCCAATTCCATTTGTTGGGCTTTTCGACTAATTACATTTAACCATAGCCAATTACTCTCCCATACTAAGTCAGGTAATGTATTAGAGAGCAAAGACCAATTTTAAAAATTTCTTCCTGGAATGGTTATGCCTTTATTAAGTCCTAGTTTATTTTTTTAGTCACTGATATGTTTTGCTTTTACTTCAAGAAGTTATTTGTAATTGTATCTTTATTTTATTACATGTAAGTAATGACAACCTTTCGGAGAAAATGGAAACAAAAAAGAAACTTGTACATAACATCAAGAAAACACAATTGAGGTTTCTAGAGCATATAATGAGGAAGGAGGGCTTGGAAAATCTGATACTCACAGGACAGATTGAGGGACAGAGGAAAGAAGTGCGTAATATACTTGATGAGCTTCAGTAAATGGATGGTGGAACAGGGCCTAGGAAAAATAACAGAAAGACAAAGTTTATTAGGAGCTACAAGGGACAGGAAGTTGTGGAGAGCCATGGTCACCTGCACTAAAAACCAAAAGCTTGGAATCACATTGATTTTTTTTTCTCTAAACTTAAAAAATGAATCAAGTTTAAAGAAATAAATTTATTTTTTCTATGTTTCAAGTGTCTATCCTCCGCAATAGATGTTACTCTGAGCCTTCCAGATCTTTTTCTGGCAACATTTGCACCAGTATCTGCATGTCGCTGCAGGCAATAATGCAGCCCATTTTTTGATATATGTAATTTTCTAGCAATCTGACATTCAGAATACCCTTCTATAGAAAGAATTTCTACTTGGGCTCTTTTTTCAATACTAATCTGTTTAGTTCTTGGCATTGTAATGGTTTCTGAAAATTAAATTCAATCATACATTAATCTAGATGGAATTGAACCTCTACCAAGCAGTGGAGTTGAAATATTTGTAAATTTCTGAACAACAGTTCAGGAAAGGTATCAGGTTGTAACAAAATTTCAAAAGCTTATGCAAATAAATTTATAATGTATAATGTTTGAATTTTACATAAGGGGTTGCATATATACACAATAGGTGAATTTATTTATCTAAATATGTAAAATTAGCCTTTTTTGTGAACTTAGAGATACAATTCAGTGTGGTCCCAAACTTTTGATTTGTAGTGTACGTCCTGAAGGGACATGGCACATAAAAAAGATGACTTTCACTTTTGATTCATAATTATTAGTTTTTAGGATAGAATATCTTTGATTCTCTTTAGTCATGATAAACCAATCATGGATTGATGAAAGTTTGGAACTTGACTAAGATCTCATTTATTTTTTTGAGATTTGGCATTACTCTGTGTGTGTATGTATGTTAATTTTTTCTTCTTCAAAAGAAAAAATATCTCCACCCATATAGGTTACTTAGCAAAAAAAAAGAAGTCCTTTCTTCTAAGGTCAGGAATAAGTGTACACTGGGGCACAAAGTTTATGAAATGTGGTTGTCTGCGAATAAAACTACATTCTTTTTCAATCCCTTGCTAAATGGAACTTCTTTGTTTTCATGTTCATTTCTTTTTTGTTCCTGTTCATTTGTCTGCATTTTCCATATATTTTTTCTCTTTGAATATAACATCTTTTGTATTTCCACTGGGACATAGAAGTATTTTCAGTCGTATCCCAGATGGCTTCAAACATTTCCATTAGAAAATTACTGTTCAGTATTGTTAGTTTCTTCCAAATTGAATTAAAGAACTATTCTATTTTTTTAGTCTTTTGTTATATATTTTTTTAAATTCCGTTGTATTTTGGAAACAGTTGTTCCTGTTAGGTACATGCTGTTGTTGTTGTTTTATGAAATATGAAAACAAACATGCCAAATGATCGGCCACGAGTTTGTGAATCATCTGCATATGTTGTTGAGTCGCGTGCATTACTCTAAGTGTTCTTCCTCTATGAGCAGGAAATCTCTTTCTCTCCCCAATTCAAATTCCATCTTTTATAAGTGCATCATTTCATAGGCTCAGCAAATAAGAAAAAGCATGCCCACCCACGCATCTAATCATATGCAATTTCTTTCACAAGAACACCTACACTTAGATTTCTTGTATGTCCTCACAATGCAGATGCAATATGTGAATGTTAATGATATGCACACACATACACACATGCATATACACACTTATGATTAGAAAGACCATATATGCAGGTATTGATTTTTTTTATTAAGTGCTTTTATTGAGATGTATACTTATTACCTTGAATAGTATACACACAGATTTTAACAATCTTATAGAGTCTTTTACTTTAATTTGTATTACTTCTTTCATGCTTGTCATGCACTCAATTGCAAGTGTACACATTAGAAGCATATAGACCAAACTGACCTCTCCTCACATTTCCTTTTCACCCAAATACCTAACCATACACACTGACTGTATAATGTCATTTTCTGATTTAAATAGCATAAGTTCTGAAATCAATTAGCAAGTTGAAAAAAATGACTCTATTTTGATGGAAAAGTTATTGATGTCATTTAAGGAAAATTAGGACCAAGGTTAAACCTTTGACAAAAATGGAACATTATTTATTATAATTGTTTTTATCCATAGAGAACACTGAGTTTTCAAAGCATTTAGGGTTTAAAATTTGTTATTTTTAATTTCATTATACTCTGTTTAAATGGACTTAGAATCAAGGAACTTACAAACACATGATGGCCTCCAAATTTACAAAATTGTCAAATACATTATTAAATGAGAACTAGCAGAATGTCCAAACTCTTAAGTGTAATTTAAAGAAAACTTATGAGATCCTGATTAATGTGTGGTTAATATTGTATTTATATATTAGTTTTTTTGTAGCTACAATATATAAGTTTGCTACAGTTCCTCCAAACATATTCATTCTTTCTGTATCAATTACAGCTACATCACATTGAAGCACTGGTTCCTGTATGTTCACCAAAGTTAAGCAAGTTGAGGTCTGCTCAGTACCTAGATGGGTGACCGCTTGGGAATACTGTGTGAACTAGAAACAGAAAAAAGATCTGTTAATGGATACGCCATGATTTTAACAATTTTTATAATTAAAATACAAAGTTATTTTCTAATGCTAAATTTCACCATGTAATTTCTACAAGGTTCATAAATAAAATTGTATTCATTAAGTACAATAGGAATAACTATCATAACTATTATATGCTGGGTTGATGGTTACATCCCGTTGAAGCACCAGTTCCCATATAATCACTGAAGTTAAGCAACATTGAGCCTGGACAGTACCTAAATGGGTAACTGCTTGGGAATACCATTTACTCTAATCTTGAATGTGTGGGTGGTGCAATGGATAATGGGTTGGAATTGTCAATTGGAGAGCTGAGTTCCTATTCCAGTTGGGTTCGTTATATCCACTTATATACCCTTGGGAAAGGTATGAATCCATCCCTTCTCTCTCCAGCTATGGGTTAATTAGTAAGACTTGTATTACTAAATCATTATTATCTCCCCACAAAAATTCTTACAGTCTAGAAATATTTTCTAGCTTTAAATAACCTGCAAAGGGTTGATAAGCCGTAGAAAACGAATCAATCAATCAATCTACTGATTAAGCAGAAGAAATTATAAGAAGAAATTAGTAAGACTTGTAAACCATTATTATCACCAAAATATATTCTTATAATCTAAAAAATATTTTCTGGCTTTAAATAACCTGAAAAGGGTTGATAAGCCGTAGAAAATGAATCAATAAATCAATATTATATCTTGTAATTCATAGATGTTGAAAAATCTACAAGTTAAGAAACTTGATTTCTCTAAATTGGTGAGTTATGTTTAAAGGTTGTTATCTAAGCAACAGGAAAGGTCAGTTAGGGCCATCACAGAATGAGAATTATTTGTGTATAAATAAAAATAAAACTGTGTACTAGTTTGATATCTTTTTAAATCAAGAGAAATATCATATGCATTTTACTGTTATTAACACAACACATATTTGTAACAATAACTTTGAGAAACCATTCCAAATTGTGTTCAGACAATAGAACTTTTTACGGTCTTCAAGTTGTTGTTCAGACTGATCCATTCTTCAACTTCTGTCAGGTGAGTCATCTATTTTCTGAAGAAGCAGTTTCTTTTTGTTTTTTACTTACAAATTCTTCACCTGATGAAGGTTGAAGAATGGATTGGTCAAAACATTATAGTTATAAAATGAATGAAGAGATCAGTTGATTGAACAAATGCATTATTTGCTATCTTGAAACATATTTCTCTTCCTTTTTAGCAATTGCATTCACTTTTAAGGTCAGACAAAAGAGAATAAATGTACCCACAAGTTTCACATTCTTATAGTCTTGGAGTACCTGCATGTGCCAGTAGTTAGGAATTTAATCTGTTGCATAATGAACGATTGGTGCTGGAAATTTACAAGTTTTTGGATAAGTACAATTTTTACAACATTGTAGATTTCTAAAACCATATCTTGTAACCAGTAGTACCAAGTGGATTAATATAGATATATTGTATCAATTGATTTTTTCTTTTAATCATTTCACCCCAGGCAAGGTGATAATGCCACTAAGACACCAGGGGGTTAAGGAGAGTTAAAGAAAATGAGAAGACATTATTAAGAAGAAAGGGCAATAAAAAAAACAGATTTCAGCAAGACAGAAGATGGTGATTTTCAAACATCATAGGTGTCAGGGAAAAAAAAAGAAACATAAAAAGTAAGAACCATGAGAAAAACTATTAAAATAGAACATTTAGTTATTTCAACAGTAAAATGATGAGATCTATTTGCCAATCTAGTAGTACGTTTAAATTCAGTTAAGCTACCAAGGAAGAAAGCTCGTTAGAACAATTGCCATGGAAATATTTGTAGAAAAACAGATGGAAGCCACATCACAATGGTGAGAAAATGACTGAAGTCAAGATTTCAGGTCAGAACTGATAATATTACACAGACCCTCTTGGATTTTGTTGAGAATCTCTTGTTTTGTACAAAAATTTAATTCTAATCTTAACCAAAATGTTTAATTTTAGTGGAAATGCATGTAAAAGTTGATCTATTTTTCTATCAGAATCAAAGATTGGCTCTAATGGTGCAATGGTCTTTTGCAATGAAAAGATATTTTTGAGAAGCACCAAGCGACATAGGGATTAAGGTACAGTATTGTCTTGTATTCATAGAGTATAACTTAAGAAACGGATGAAGTTGTAATATCTAGAATATATTTTTTTATTAGGTGAACCATTGTCAACTATTATTAAATTTGTCTAGAATTTTCTTTCATCTTAATTTGAGTTGCTTATCACAATTACTCAGTCTGTCATTCCACAGCCATTTATTTCTGATCTTTACTATTTATTACAAGCCATAGACAAGAGGTTTAGAAATTGCAATGAAAAGCAAGTAAAATTAATGTGAATGAAACACTAATCAACAATTAATAATGGTTGAGAATACTTCATTTAATAAAAATTCAAGATAATATGATGATGTCTAATGAGTTGAAAAACAAATAGGAAATGTTTTATCAATCTCTAACATGTTTCACTTTTATTAAAGCTTCAGCAGAGACTGAATGTTATGTTTTGCATATCTCTCTGTGTAGTAGTAGTAGTCGTGGTACAGTTCTCCATGTCCTAAATAGCAACCGGGTTTGCTAGGCATAGCCACCCTATGTTTGCCAGTTGTTCTCTATTTATACTTGTCTATCTAATTTGCATACAATACTACACTGAAATATTGAGAAAAAGAAGAAATTCTGGTATTTTTACTATTGTGTTGTTTGATTTTCATTGGTCAATCATGTACATTCGACTCTTTTAAACCAACATTAATATAAAAGAGTCGAATGCACATGATTGACCAATGAAAATCAAACAGCACAAAAGTAAAACTACCAGAATTTCTTTCTTCTGCAAATGTTTTTTTTATTTGTTCTTTATCTTATAATTCTGTCAGATTTCTATTCATATTTGATCTATAGTTTCCCAAACTTCTACTAATGTCTGTAGAGTGATAGTCTGAGTGTGATGAACAGCTAATGAATTTAAGATGAAAGAAACACTAGTCAAAAATTAATAATGGCTGATAAAAAAGCAAACTTGTAATTTAAGACAAATGTTTATAAAATATGTGCATAGCATCTGTCAGTGACACTTGAGGATTTAGATATTTATTTCAGTAAAGCTCATGTGTTGTGACAGATAAGAATATAAAAAGAAAAGCAAGTACAGTTGTACGCCACCATCTGCTATTTAACTTATCTCCAGTTGGCCCAGTCAGCAAAACTTTTTATAAAACTTGTTTACTAAATATATTTCAAAGGACTAAAATAAAAACAAAAAAAGAAGACAAATAAAAGCATTTAATAAAAATAGTATTTTGAAAATATCAAAAAAAAAAAAAAAAAAATCAATTTAAATGTCCTCAAAGTCTGAGTCATCTGATCCTGGGAAAAACAACAAAAACTGAAATGCATAAAAACAAGTTTTGTTCATTTACTGAAATATTTTAGTCTAATCTATTTCATTTTTTTACAGTTGGTTAGACCAGCATTTTTTTTTTTTTTTTACCATGACCCACAGCAAGAACCACATTTTGCATTGTAATAATACATGTAATAAATCAAAGACAAACTCACTAGGGTCATTTATTTAGCATCAACATGTCATTCTTATGATCTGCACATATTTGGAATAGCATGTATCTATTTATAAGAATATAAAATCATTACTTTTAGAAGAACAAATTTAAAGGAAATTTCAGCACAAAGGTACAAATTTAAAAAAAAAAAAAAAAGAAGCCTGTTCTTAAATTTGGCCAAAACAACAGCCAACTCACCAAAAATTCTGAGACTTTAAATGAACACATCATCTTACTACCCCAGGATGTGTACGTATCAGTCTTCTACATTGTGTTGGAAAATTCACTTTTAGTCCTGACTTCAGATGCAACTGAATTATTCAACAATCTTAATGGCTTTCACTGGCCAAGAAGATGAAGGCACTGCACACCTTCATAGCTAAATTTTGGCCTGAGGTCTCTTTGTGATAGAGAACTAACTTTGCTCAGTCCACAAAGAATTTAATGAATAAGATATATAAACTCAATGAGAACAGACTATATATATATATAATTAAAAAAATAAAATATAATACGAGCTTATCTTGGTAAAAAAACTAGTGATGATTTATGAGTGCTGTGCAACATTTAGGGTTGCTTATATTCTGCACTTTGCTCTTGCTTGCGTATTTTTTTCTTTTTTGTCGCAACCCATTTTTTTTTATCTCACAACCCACTGAAAGGTCATGATGCACAGTTTGAAAAATCCTTGGTTAGAGACATGTAAGTCAAATAAATTTCTTAGTAGGAAGGTGATTTGTGATCTCTATTAGTAAATACAATTACAATGTACAGTAAATCATAGATGATTACTGAAAAATAGTGACTTTTTAACTGTCCAATTTTCCTTTGTAATTAATGTGAATAAAGTCGGATGAGAATTTGATGAAATAGTATGTACAAGTGTGTGTGTACACACACACACACATATATATGTATTGAGTTCATCGCTTTCAAGGCAGTGAAGTCACTAAGACACAAGGGATTACTGAGTGGAAGAATTAGAAAACAGAAACATTACTAAGAAGCAAGAACAAAGAGAAGGGTAATCAAGAAGACAGTAGATAATGATTGACATTGAAATTAAATTTTAGAAGATCAAAGTTGGCTGGAAAGCAAAGGAATTACCATAAAACTTGCAGTTACATCTAGCCAACTTGACTGTAAATTGATGAGACCTCAATGCCAGTCTGGAAAATATATATATATATATATATATATATATATATATATGTATGCATGTATGGTTCATCAATGAAATATATCAAATTGAAATTTTCCAAATGTTCTTATATTTATCATTGTAATTGATGAAAATATTTATTTTTCAGACAAAAATTTCAGGCTTGCTTTTGTTTCTTTCTCATAAAAATTTAATTGCAAAAATGAAATTACAGCTTTAAAATAAGGTGTTTCCATATATAGAATATATAATTAGATATTATAATTTTCACTGTCCATAGAATCACACTGAAAAGGCACTTGGAAACAGCTGGTACTGTAAACAACACCCAACAATCCCAAATAGGTTTCTGCTTTAAATAACCCTTTTGATTCTTGCCATTTATGAGTTCCTACTGTATTTTAGAGGATAATTTTAATTTTTAGGGACCAATTCAACACGTTGAATTCACTTATTACTATGAGAATTTTGATTCAAAAGATAAGGAAAAAAATGTAGAAAG